ATTGTAGAATTAAATCCTACATGCAAAATGTGACATATTTTTGTATTTTTTTTTATTAATTTAACAAATAAGCAAACACAGACAAATACAAACAATTATCCAAAAAATGTCACAAAAATACTCAAAATTGCACACCAAGAAAAATCATTTTATTTTGCATTTTTGGGAGTATTTCTCATATAGGGTAAAAATCACGTGTTTACAGTCCTGAAGTCCTAAAGTTAAGTTCAAAAGTTAAGAACATGAGCAGAAGAGTATTTTCATCCGGGCAGTTAAAGTTTATTAAAGCAGTGGCTAAAGACTAAAGATATTTTAAACAGTGGCTTAAAAGTAAATACATATATTATTAGTGGCTAACCGTGCACTTCCCCTGACCTGCGCCCCAAGCCCATCAGCTGACCTAACCCGCCCCATTTTCTGTTCTTAATCTCGGCCATTCATTCCAATCTAATCCAACAGCCCATGTTCCATCCCACCTCCATATAAATATCCTTTTATGACTTGACCTAACCCTAATCTCTTAAACCTAAAGCAGTCGTTTCTTCCACCCTACTGTCGCCTCTAACTCGCCGGAAAACTCAGCAAATCGGCCGAGTTCACTCGTCCCAGTCCTCCCTCTACTCCCCTCTCCTTCCTCCACGTGTCCGTAATCATGAAGAACATGTTTTCTCCTCATCTCTGTTTTTGATTTTATCTTTTTAGGCAAAAACAAAAAAATGGGAGGTGTAGGATCGAGTTACACTCGATCTACTCCATCCATCTGCCCTTGATTGCCATAAAAGGGATAAAATTCGTTTTTTTTTGGGATTTTTTGGAGAAGATTTTCGGTTTCTTGGAGAGGAAGGAAGGAGAAGCTTCTAGGCTTCCTATAAATAGGGGATTTTCGGACAGAAATGGGAGGAGGAAGACTGGAAAAAGAAGATTAGGGTTGAAGGAAAATTAGGGTTCTGGTATTTGATTTCCACAATTTTTCTCTTCTGATTTTTGGGTTTTAGTTTTTTATATATAAAAATCAAAAAAAAAAAAAAATCAGTTTCTTCTAGTTTCAATTTTACTCCAAAGTCAGAAAAAATACAAAAAAAAATGAATTTCTTCTTCTAATTTCTGCTTGAAATGGAGATTTAATTGAGCCGAGGTTCACTTGATGATCTAGGTTTAAGCTCGCGGTTCCAGATTCGTTCATCGTTACTCCGTTCATTTTCGTTTGAGTTCGTCATTCGATCTTCTGCTTGTATTGCCTTCCATTGGACACCAATATATTGAAAATTTCACTTCAGGTATCATTTGTCTTCCGCACTCTTGTTAGTTGATTGTGTTGGTCAAAGCATTGATGGGAGCCTAGGATTAAATAATCGAATTAGTGTTGGTTGAGGCAGATTTCGAGTGCTGCAGATTATGTTGAATCTAGTCGAAAATTCTCCCTTAAATGTGTTCTGTTTTTTTTACTCTTTGTGATGAAATGCCTTGTGTTTCAGACCTGCCTTAACGCAAAGTGTACAATTGAAGTGCTATTTGAACTCTTTTTTTGATAATCTGAATTGATGAATCCCATCTTATATTGTTAGAACCAACTGAGATAGTTCTTTTGTTTTTGTTAAGTACAAAGTTTCCATGTTAGTGCGCATTAATTGCTTTGGCAATGACTCTGAAGAGAATCAATGCACTTCTTAGATTTAAATGAAGTCGAGTTCATCATGCCTCGCTATTAAGATTTCATCCTCCTCGTCTATGCATGTTGGTGGTAACATCAGATTAGTTTGTATGAAGGTCTGTTCTATTACTGAATGCTGAAAGTTGATTCATGGCGGTTTAAGTTGATTTTATTCCCGTCAGTTTAGGCGTGGGATGAGTGCTGGAATTTCTTTGGTCTTGCTTGGGGTTCCCCATTAGTCTTTTAATTGTCTTTGTTAAGAATTGAGTGCTCAATCCATATCCTGGAAGCATGTTTTTAAAGTCACTGTTTGAAACTATCTTATGTTCACTATGTTTCATTGTTTGTGCTTGGGTGTAAGTTGTTGAACTCTTTTGAAGCATGATAGATTCATTGTCAAGTAGAGTAGGATATTGAATTAAATTTGGAGATATGAAGTTCATGTGGTGGTATTGCTTTAGCTTTTAAAATCAGTTTGTAGTTAGTGTCGCGCGCCAATTAAATTTAATAGGAAAATTGTTTTGGATCTTCGTCCACTTTTAGAGTGCTGTGCGTAGGTGCAAAAATCTTGAACTTTAATTGGGGTAATGATTTCGCATGCTTGATAGTACAGTTTTCCTCTAGCTTCAGTTCACTGCTATTTCCCTATGTGGATTCAAATATTGGAGTTGGAACCGTCTGGATAATATTAACATGGTATCCGATTCGCCTTGTTTGAGATTCCGAGTTATGGGTTTAAGAATAAGATTAATGGTGTGCGGTCGGTTAAGCTTTAGACGGCTCCTGTCATGCCTTGATCTACCGTTTCTTGACCTATTTGGTTTTCTATTTTGTCAAATTGTTATATTTTCCTCCTCTTCTATATGTTTTCTACCTTTGTGTGTGTAGATAACTGGAGTAGGTTATTTTGGATGATTGTTTTATGGGGGTTGTGGGGTAATGAGGTAAACTAAGAATTCAAAAGGAAAAATCAGCATACTGTTAATTCATTCTCCCTCAGCTCTCGTTTCTTATTTTATTATCTTATTGTTTCAAGTGTTAGGAGCATGTTTTAGGCTGACCACATTTGGGGTAGACAAGCCTTAGGATTTTATTGGTCTCGAGGCGAGAGGTCGTTCCCTTAGTTAAATTTATCCGGGAATGCTCCAAAAGACTTGTATATATTTTATTCCGGGGTATGTCCCGAAGTATTTGTACTTGGAGATCGATAGTAGAACTCGTAACATTTTTATTTTTATTTTTATTTTTGTTTCTTTTATTAGGTGGGGACGACCTCAAACCTCATGTGTGTTTATTTTGCTTATTCGTGATTTTACTTCAACCTGAATATTTTAAAAGCCGATTAGATCAAGTATGCAACCGTACTAGTTACGGGACTTGGAGAGTGCCTAACACCTTCTCCCCAAGTCAAATGAACTCCCTTACCCGAATTTCTGGTGTAGACTTAGTTTTAGAGTCCAAAGTGTTTTAAAGGAAAAATCATTCTTAAAAATGGTGACATGGCACATCGAAATCAGAGTCAGTTGGCGACTCTCAGTTAATCCTTTGAACACAAATTTGTCACTTTCTAATTGAAAACCATTTTAAGCTTTGCAAAAATCTTTTTATTAATTTAAGAGGGTTAGTGAGGTTGGTAAAAAAGGGGTGTGACGGCTGTGGTGACTCCGCTGGGGACTTGCAGGTTTGAGCTAGTACTTGATCTTGTTGGCTTTTTAAGATATTCGGTTGAGGTTTTTGTGTGTTTTGTTTGCTTTATTTGATTTTTATTTTGTTTATATCGTTTTATGTGCTAGTTGCTTATTTGTTTACAATATTTTCTTTATGTGTTACTGCTTTATAAATTGTCATCATTTGCACAACCCCGAGTCTTCTTTCTGCAACAAGTCTTCCGGAGTACGTTTGAGCGTACACGACCTTTTTGTGAGTCACTCGTGTCTTTAGGTAGGTGGTGTGGGAGCGTGGAGTGGGCGGATAGCTAGAGCAGCCGCCATCGACCACGTGCCGCCCCGAATTGCCTTGTCTAGTGAACCCAAACCGTAGGTCAGCCTTTAGGTCATGCTTATGTGCATCATATCATTTAAACCTAGCAGGGTTCGGTCCTAGACACCGTGTCCCATTATAAGAGGCCTATCCAAATTTTGTTAAAATGGGCTCGTGGCCCAAAAAGACATTCAATCATTCTTATGCGATACATGTTGCATATTTGAGGGTAAAGGGGTCATTTGACGGACCAATGATAGTTGGGGGAAAATGAAAAAGAAAGGAGGGTTAAGTATAAAAATGAAGCAAGTAGGGCCCACTCGCATTTTTCTTTCATAGTTTTCCAAAAACAAAACAAAATGAAAATGTACACTTTCCCATCATTTTCCAAAAACTCAAAAAAGGGAGAAAAAGAAAATCCAAAAAGATTTTACATTTTCCATCATTTTTCAAAAATACAAAAAAAAAAAAGTTTTTCCAAATTAGTTGCATTTTTTTAAAAGAAAAAGAGCTTTCTCCCATGTCCAATCTTCTCGAACTATGCATACCCGATTTTCGTCTTTCGGGGCGGGATACGTAGGCAACCCACATAGGGTCCGGTCTTCCTAGTAAGTCTTAAGTTCTTGGCTTTGTGGGGTCTTAGCCAAATTTTGCATGTTTAGCCACTTTTGGCCACATTGGCCATTCTCGGAAATGAGGTCATTTTCGCAAAAGTAGTCCAATTACCCTTGTCTTAGAATATTGAGTCCACAACTAGGTGTCATATTATTTTAAGGTCTGTCCTTTTCGAGTTTGCATCTTTAGCCACTTATGGCCATATCAGCCGTTTTTGCAAAAAGGGTCATTTCTGCAAATTCATTTTGGGCCATGATTATTGGGAGTTTGAATCCATATAAGCTTTAGTGAGGTATTTCCATGTCTTCGAGGTCACCTTTGTTGAGTCTGCACTTTTAGCCATTTTCGGCCCCTCAGGCCATTTTGCAAAAATAGCCCAACCGTCCCCTAGGAAATGTTGTGGTGCCACATAATGTTTTGAGTCATTAACCATGTTTTCCCCATTCAGGTATGGATCCACTTACCAACGCTAGAGTATCAATGGTGGTCAAAGTCCCTAGAAGGCTAGTAAAATGGTAGAACATGTTCACATTACTTGAGCAACGTGATCTGATGGGTAAATTAAGGACTCTTATTTCTTTGATGGACATCACCCCCGTCCCGACCTTTTAGAAGCAATGTTGACATTTTGGGACCCACAGGGAATGGTATTCATGTTTGGGGATCTTGAGATGACACCCACCTTAGCTGAGATAGCCGGGTTAACTCGCCTGCCATACCTAGACAAGGATTTGATTTACACAAGGGCTCATTCAAGCACCAAGTTTCTTAAGTTCATAGGGATGGATTTAGAAAATCACATGAGATGTCTAGATCAATCTTGGGTACCTTTGGACTTTTTATTCGAGAGGTTTGCTCGTCCTACTGGGTATGAGACCTTCGTAGATGAATTTTCCATATCATATGATTCTTGGAAGAAGAGGCGTCCTATGGTCTTCGCTATTGCATTGTTGGGTCTCCTGGTTTTTCCTTTGGAGGGTAGACATATTAGCACGCGTCTGGGTCAATAGCCTTTTCACTTTTCTATGATAAACACAGTAGTAAGGTCACCTTGGTTCCGAAAATTTTGGCAGAGATCTATCGCGCTTTAACCAGGATTCGAGAAGGTGGAAGGTTCTTTGAGGGAAGAAACTTGTTGCTACAGCTGTGGATGATGAAACACTTACATCCCGCCACCATGTTTGAGAAAGATGTGATTGACCGTTGTCTGAGAGATCGAGTGAAGTGCATCGAGCATAGAATTATGTTCGATAAGTTTGCCTTACCACTCGGAGTTCAGGCTTGGGTTGATTACTTAGGATCCTTGACTGAAGAGAAGATTTTGTGGTCATACCTTTGGATTGATTTGGACGTGATCTTAGCAGGATTTCGCGTGCAAGACTTCTTGGTACTGATTGGACTTTGGTTTACTAGACCATATATCCCTGCTAGAGTGATGCGTCAGTTAGGGAGGCGGTAAGAAGTCCCCTACATTCATGATTCTCGTGACTTTATTAGGGAATTTGACACTATGCCTTACAGGGAGGTCGACATCCAGACCTATTGGCGTCATGCAATGAAGATGGGTAGAGATACTTTAGCAGCTGACCCACATTCACCTGGGTATACCCATGAGTACTTCATATGGCTACAGTCTACTCATTGGGGGGTTAGCATGCCATTGCCCCGACGTGTTAGAGGAGTATTTGACGAGGAGGCTACTTCACGGATATTGCTTAGACAGTTGATGGATCGATTTACCCAGGCAGAGGAGGCCCATGCAGCAGAAAGGGTTGGGGTTCGAGCTACACTTCAGTTGTTAAGATCACAATTGGCAGGGTTGGTAGAGAACATGGGACAACACTTTGAGTACCTTACTAGAGTTAACCTTTCAGATGCAGGCGCGCATTCCAGGATTCTCATTCCTAGTTTTGAGGTGTCTTTGCAGGGTATAATACAGAGCTTAGATTCGACAGGATTGACGTGGCCATCCGGATCTTCATCAGACCCGTCCTAGCCAAGACCGTCGCATTCAGGAGCAGCTTGAGGAGTCATTCTATTTAGGTGTTTTGAGATTGTCTTATGTTGTCTTTTACTTTCGTGTCTTGTCTAGTAGTACCGAGTCCTTTAGGTAGTGTAGGAGTCCGTCGTAGTGTAGCTGAGTCTTTCAGGTCTTTCAAGATCGTACTTCCCATTGTATTTTAATATCGAAAAGTTTTAAATGAAAAATCCCAAAAAGATTTTATTTTATTTTCTATCACTTTTCCAGAACTACGCTTGGTATGATTCATGAGGGACATGATACGTAGGCAACCTATATCGGGTTCGATCAAACCATTTTTGGTGATAAGAGGTGCTAGAAAAGAAAGAGAAGGGAAGATTGAAATGAGCAAATTGGGATGATGCCATATGACGCTGCAACCCTCAAAGCCATTATGGAACCACTAATTGTTGCTAGGTGCATTGCACGTATGTGATATTATCATATGATAAATGCCCTAACGCTAATATGGTTGTTTGTGTTGTTTTGCTCTGTTATCTTTATTTAATTTCAGGAAGGTGGTTAGTTTGTTGGTATCCTGGCAAGCCATCCATACAACACCAGGTCAAAGCGCCAAACAGTCATGGCAAGCAAAGAAATAGACACAGAGTTGTAGACCCACCAAGGGAGATTGTTGAGTCGGAATCAGAACTGCAAGAGGAGGTCCGGAGGTTGAAGCATCAGATGATGGAAATGTATCAAGCCTGGATTAAGAGACACCCTCCCCCCTCATTCCCTACCAACTACACAGAAAACCCTGCTTCCATTCCACCACTCTCCCAATCCCAAATGCCCAATACCGTTGATCTTTCCCCACAACACGCACCAGGGTTTACCCCTTACCATAACTACCCTGGCACTTTGGCCCAAACTTTTCATGCTCCACCAGCCAAAACAACCTCGTACCCTGCTCCGACATATGCTCCTATTTTTGTACCCCCTCCACAAGCTACCCTCCACCGATCCTTTAGTGAGCCCGCATTCCCAGCTCCATATACCCAATATTATGCCCCGGAACCCACATTCAAAGTCCTATATCCTTATTCCAACACTCCCCACTTTGAGCCTCATGTTGAAACTGACAAACCACCCAAGAACGCAGAGCAAAAGGAGATGTTCCGGAAGGTAAAAAGTCTGGAGCAATCATTGAGAAATATGCAAGGGTTGAGAAACCAGGTGAGTGTGACCTATAAGGATTTGTGTTTGTTTCCCGATGTCCAATTGTCTGCCGGGTTCAAGATGCCCAAGTTTGACTTGTATGATGGACATGGGATTCTGTAGCTCATCTGAGGGGTTATTGCAATAAAATGAGAGGCACTGGGGGAAAAGACGAATTATAAATGGCATACTTCAGTCAGAGTCTGAGTGGGGCAGCTTTAGAATGGTACAACCGCCAGGACGCTAGCATGTGGTACACCTGGGACGATATGGCTCAGGCCTTCGCTCGGCACTTTCAATACAATATAGACATTGTTCCAGACCGTCTATCTCTGACCAAGGTGGAAAAGAAACCCAGTGAAAGCTTTAGAGAATATGGGTTCCGGGGGGAGGGAGCAAGATGCACGAGTCAATCCTCCGATGGAAGAGGACGAGATGGTTGAATACTTTCTTCAAGCCCTGGAGCCTACTTACTATGTCCATATGATTTCAGCCATTGGGAAGTCTTTCAATGATGTGGTAAAAATGGGAGAAATGGTGGAAGAGGGGCTCAATTCGAGCAAGATCATGAGCTACTCCACCATAAAAGCAACCACCCAAGCAATCCAGAGTGGTACCGGAAGTTTGCTAGGGAAGAAGAAGAAGGACAATGTCGCAATGGTTGTCTCTGGACCATGGCATGGCCAGAGGGGTTCACCTCATCAGTACACTCATCCTTGACCCCGACCTCAAACCTACGTCCAAGCTCCATATAATCCACCCCAACATTACTTTCCCCCGCAAAACCCCCAATACTCAGCCAAGCCACCCCAATACCATGTTCACCATGCACAGTCATATGCTCAACCCTCTCCCTACCCGCAATGGAGTGCTCCAGCTCCACAAAATACCTATCCACCTCCACAACCCTACCAAAACCCCAATGGTTCAAATTTTTGACCAATGCCAGAGTATAGAAGAGAGAGGCAGCAGCAGAAACAAACTTTTACCCCGCTTGGAGAGTCCTAGCTATTTCAAAGGTTAAGGCAGTTGGACGTCTTAAGGCCGATTGAGTCAAAGATACCAAATCCCCCTCCAAAGAACCTCGATTATTCCCTAAGATGCGCTTATTGTTCTGATGCTTCAGGGCATGACATAGAGAAATGCTGGCATTTGAAAAGGGCAATCCAGAAACTCATTGATACAAACCAAATTGTAGTCCCAAGTCCAGACACGTCGAACATCAACCAAAAACCTTTGCCAGCCCATGTAGAGATGCATATGATTGAAATAGTTCATAAGGATGGGGAGCCCAAAAAGTCTTCTAAGTCCGTCATGATGATTCGGGCCAGTGAAAGTAATTTGGTTAAAGCTCCAGACTCTACTAAAGCAAAGCCCTTGACAGTTGAGCTCGCTCAATTTGAAGCCACCAGTGTTGGTCGTGAAAGGGCCTTTGAAAGATATTGGGGCAAGTCCAGAAAGTTCAAAAGTGGTAGTGCCAGGGATTCTAAGTAAGCCTGTCATAATTGTGAAGGGGGCTCCTATTACCCCTATTATCATTAAACTAGTAACCCAGCTGCTAATGGTTGATGCCAAGGCTGTTACATGGAATTACAAACAAGTGATAGTGACATACAAAGGAAAAGAAATAGAGGAAGAAGTTAATGAAACTGGAGGATTGACTCGTTCTGGGAGATGTTTTACCCTAGAAGAATCAAGGAAAGCCAAGCCATTCAAGGATAGCCAAATGCCAGTAAAGAGATCGGTCAACGAAGAAGAGGCTGAGGAGTTCTTGAAAAAGATGAAAGTGCAGGATTATTCCATTGTGGAGCAGTTAAGGAAAACACCAGCTCAGATTTCTCTTTTGTCTTTGCTGATACATTCAGATGAACATTGCAGGGTCCTGATGAAGATTTTGAATGAGGCACATGTTCCTGACAAAATCATAGTGAACCACTTGGAAAATATAGCTAGCAAGATCTTTGAAGTAAACATGATCACTTTCTCAGATGATGAACTTCCTATGGAGGGTATAGAACACAACCGAGCTCTTTATCTCACGGTGAAGTGTGAAGATTCTGTTGTCTCAAGGGTTTTAGTTAACAATGGCTCTAATGCAAATATTTTCCCCCTGTCTACTCTGCAAAAATTGAAGATCGACACCGAAAGAATCCACATGAATAGTGTGTGTGTTCGAGGCTTTGATGGGGGAGGTAAAGATTCTATTGGAGATATAATGCTCGAATTGTCGATAGGGCCAGTTGAGTTCACCATGGAATTCCAAGTGTTAGATGTGGCTGTCTCATACAATCTGTTGTTGGGAAGGCCCTGGATACATGCTGCTAAGGCAGTCCCGTCTTCTCTGAACCAAATGGTGAAGTTCGAATATGACAGGCAAGAAATAGTTGTGCATGGTGATGAGGACTTGTCAACTTGTAATGACACAATTGTTCCGTTTGAAGCTGAAGATGATAAGGGACCTTGGGTCTATCAATCTTTCGAAACAATGTCTTTTGAGAAGATTCCTGAAGGAAAATGTATTCCGGGTCCTAAGCTATCCTCCGCGTCTGTAATGGTAGCGAATGAAATGTTGAAGAATGGCTTTGTGCCGGGCAAAGGTCTGGGCTCATCTCTGCAGGGTATTGTGCATCCAGTGCACCCCACGGGGAATCTTAGTACATTTGGTTTGGGATTCATGCCCACAGAGAAGGACGTGAAAAGGGTTAAAAACCTGAAACAGAAGGTATGGTCACTCCCCAAGCCTGTCTCGCACATCTCTAAGTCTTTTGTCAAGCCAGGGTCCGAAAAACCTCCAACCTCATCAGTGCCAAAACCTGTGGTCGATGTTGATGAAGAGCTGATCAAGAGGTTACAAAGTCTGTTCAATGAGGTTAATATGGTAGAAGTTGGTGAAGGTTCTAGTAAGGCATATGTGTATCTCGTTGGGACAAATGTGAAGCTTAGCAATTGGGAAGCTACTCCTCTCCCCACGAGGAAGGAGTTTTGGTAGTTTGCTTTATTTTCCTTTCTGTTATCTGGGTTATTCCAGGGTTGTAATCCAGATTTTTAGTTTTTGCTTGTTTTGATGTTCAAACCCTTCTATCCTTTTATTTTCAATGAAATACAATTTCTCGTTTTCCGTTATTCCTAATAGTGCTTTATTTTGTTTTTTTTCCTTTTGTACCGTTCTTTTTATGCTGGTTTTAATGACATGACATGCATGAAGAATTTTCAGCCGAGTCTTAAAAGACAATCTAATTCTGAAATAATAATCCAAAAAGTAGAATATGATGATGAAATAAAATATGATGAAGAAGCAACATTTGAGGAAATCAGTAAAGAGCTAGAACAATTTGAAGAAAAACCAAAGCCTAATCTGAGTGAAACTGAAGCAATCAATTTAGGGGACCAGGATAATGTTAGGGAAACCAAGATAAGTGTGCATCTGGAACCACAAGTTAAGGAGGAAATAATAAAAACATTGTTTGAGTACAAAGATGTCTTTGCATGGTCATATGATGATATGCCGGGCCTGAGCACTGATATGGTAGTTCATAAATTGCCAACTGATCTAGCATTCCCTCATGTCAAGCAAAAGTTAAGAAAGTTCAAGACTGACATGAGCGTGAAGATCAAAGAAGAAATCACAAAGCAGCTTTGTGCAAAGGTCATTCGAGTCACTCGATATCCTACTTGGTTAGCCAATGTTGTGCTAGTACCAAAGAAAGATGGTAATACTAGGGTATATGTTGATTACCGTGATCTTAACAAAGCAAGCCCAAAGGATGATTTTCCATTGTCGAACATTCACATTCTAATTGATAATTGTTCCAAGCATGAGATCAGGTCTTTTGTGGATTGTTACGCGGGATATCACCAGATCTTGATGGATGAGGAAGATGCAGAAAATACAGTGTTTATCACACCATGGGGAACATATTGCTACCGGGTAATGCCATTTGGTCTGAAGAATGCTGGGGCAACTTATATGAGGGCGATGACCACCATATTTCATGATATGATACACAAGGAGATTGAGGTTTATGCAGTTGATGTGATCATAAAGTCAAAGAAGCAGTCTAACCATGTCAAGGATTTGAGGAAGTTTTTCCAAAGGCTCTACAGGTATAACCTCAAGCTCAATCAAGCAAAATGTGCATTTGGTGTCCCGTCTGGGAAACTGTTGGGATTTGTGGTTAGTAGACGCGGCATTGAGTTGGACCCCTCGGACATCAAAGCCATCCAAGAGTTACCACCCCCAAAGAACAAAATTGAGGTGATGAGTTTGCTTGGAAGGTTAAATTATATCAGCAGGTTTATTGCTCAGCTCACAACAACTTGTGAGCCCATCTTTAAGCTGCTGAAGAAAAATGCTGCAGTCAAGTGAATTGACGAGTGTCAAGAAGCATTTGATAAGATTAAGAAGTACTTGTCGAATCCACCTGTGCTAGTCCCACTAGAGCCTGAAAGACCTTTAATTCTCTATTTGACAGTCTTGGATAATTCTTTTGGCTGTGTATTGGGTCAATATGACATTACGGGAAAGAAGGAGCAAACAATCTATTATCTCAGCAAGAAGTTCACTCCCTATGAGGTTAAGTACACTCTGCTTGAGTGGACATGTTGCGCCCTGACTTGGGTAGCACAAAAGTTGAAGCATTATCTTTCATCCTACACTACTTACCTCATTTCTCGCATGGATCCTCTAAAGTATATCTTTCAGAAGCCTATGCCCATAGGAAGACTTGCAAAGTGGCAGATTTTACTCATAGAGTTTGACATTATCTATGTGACTCGGACCGCGATGAAAGCCCAAGCCTTGGCGGACCACTTGGCCGAGAATCCGGTGGATGAAGAATATGAGCCACTGAAGACTTATTTTCCTGATGAAGAAGTCATGTGTGTTGACGAGGTTGACCGTGATGAAAAGCCAGGTTGGAAACTCTTCTTTGATGGAGCTGCTAACATGAAAGGTGTCGGAATAGGGGTTGTACTCATCTCTGAAACAGGGCAACACTACCTTGTAACAACCCAACTTCGATTTTATTTCACCAACAACATGGCTGATTTTGAAGCATGCATTTTAGGTTTGAGGTTAGCTATAGACATGGGAATCCAGGAAATACTCGTTCTGGGAGATTCAGATTTGTTGGTTCACCAGATTCAAGGAGAATGGGAGACTCGGGACTGGAAGCTCATACCGTACCGACAGTGTCTGCATGATCTTTGTCAACAATTCAGGTCAGTAGAATTCATACATATTCCCAGAGTTCATAAAGAGATTGCCGATGCCTTAGCTACTCTAGCGTCAATGTTACATCATCCAGACAAGGTTTATGTCGACCCCGTGCATATTTAAGTTCGTGATCAAATGCTTATTGTAATGTGGTTGAAGAGGAAATTGATGGCAAACCTTGGTTCCATGACATCAAGGAATACATCAAGTCGGGGGTATATCCAATACATGCCACAGGTGATCAAAAGAGAACCATTCAACATCTGGCTTGTGGATGTTTCTTAAGTGGGGGAATCTTGTACAAGTGGATTCCAGATTTAGGACTGCTAAGGTGCATAGATACTAAAAAAGTGTCACGACCCAAACCGATGGGCCGCGACGGGTACCCAATACCTTACTCAACCGAGTACCAACGTAACATATCTTTCTTATTACATCATCATATACACGTGACATACGGGCCTAATAGGCCAACATGATCTTTTATAAACATGAAACATAGGCCAACAAGGCCGTACAATCTTTCACGTACACGACATATGTCTATAAACCTCTAAGAGTACATAAATGTCATAAAGGTCAGGACAGAGTCCCACCATACCAAGCAATACACGTCTAAATCATACTAACCAAACCCACAACTCCGAAGCAAATGGAGCGCACCAACATCTTCCACTGAGCGGATAGTCTACTTGGAGGGCTCTTGACCTGTCTATCCGAACCTGTGGACATGAAACGCAGCGTCCCCAGGCAAAAGGGATGTTAGTACGAATAATGTACCGAGTATGTAAGACACATAAATAGGTACATAAGAGACATGGAAGAAATATAGAGTACATGACTCAACTTGTAAGTCTTAATAACTTTGTAAATCATAAATTACTTTTAGCATCATGCATATGCGTATGAATGTCATGTCGTACATAGGTGTCACACCTCCTTTTTCCGTACCCGCGAGGGTACAAGGGAGTTTTTCCAATTGAAGGACAATCGAAACGGGATTTGTTTAATTATTTCAGAGTCGCCACTTGGG